CATTATGCTACGTGAAAGAGCCAGTCACAGAAGACTATATGTTGTAAGTTCCTATTTATACAATATATACAAAATTGTCAAAGTTATAGTTCTGGCGGTGCAGACCACCTAGGTGGGGTAGAGTGTATGTGAGGTGCGGGTCCATTGTGCATTTAAGATATGTTTGGTTACAAGTCGTGAAAATATCTGAGAAAGGATTTCGGTCTGCTCTGTAATCACACCTGATTAAACCAAATTCCCACTGCTAACAGTGGTAGCAAAATAAGGTGTAAGGGAAAAGATTAACAGGAATGTCTCAGGTACTCTTGCCTAAAATGATCCTAAGGCCCCAGTGATGGGGACATCTATGCAGACAGCCACCAAGACTGGTCATTCACTGGGGATGGCAAGGTGAAAGGAGATGACTAAGGGAATTGGGGATGGAGAAGGAAAAAAATTTGATTTAGTATTAAGTCATGATATGTCAGTAAAGAAAACGATGTTTCATTCTTTTGGTTTTAGCTCTCCCTGAAATGTCTGTGTGTGCCTCTGGGAAGTGCTTGTTGTACTCTGAGGCTAGGGAGTGACTCTTCTAGCGCCCCCTCTAGAAGCAGCACCTCTCTTTCTGGGCAGTGTGTGTTTGTCCAGGCTGTACCTGGCTAGCCTAACTCAAAAAGCACCATTCTACATTTAAGGACTGGATCTCTCCCACCTTGGGCTCCTCACTCACTTCGATTCCACCAACTCTGCTGTCCAGTCTCTTTAAAGGCCTCCAGATAGGTGCCCAACAAAACCCACAGCTCAGGTAGTCCACCTCTTCCCCAGGCAATACAGTGGCCCTGTTCTGCCCTGTGTTCAACCCACAGTATGCTGGATACTACATAGGCCTGGGGGTAGTTCCCTAGGTACCTGAGATTTCTCTATACACCACTAGATCAGGGGCCCTCTTCATCTGTCTCCCTAATCAAAGTCAGTTATCACTATTTCTTAAGTGTCATATTATTATCCCTTTGTTAAGAAGCGTGGTTTATTGGAGATAGGAACAATAGCCAAACCACAGTCTGTTAGCTGAATGCAGCTCATGTTTCTCTTTGTCCTGTTGTTACTATACCCAAGTCTGTTTACTTGTTACTTGAAAAGGGGCCCAAAGAATTGAGGACAAGTTGTGAGACCAAGGAAAAATATTTATTCAGAATGCCAGCAAAATGAGAAGATGACAGGCTACAGCCAAAGAAGGCAAAGCTAGGGGGAGACTAATGGCATATTGCTCAGCAGCACGACCTCCAGAATGAATGACTTTTAAAGTCACCTAAAACCCAAGTGATGCTGAAGGGTTTATTTAGACTTTCCCTCAGTTATACAGAGTGAAGATCTTCTATTTTTAAAGTTTGGAAAAATCAAAATAATAACAGATGGTGTTATATTATTGTGCACTCCTGCCCAAAATTTGTAAAAGCACTAACCCCACAACTATATTTAGAAATAGGACTTTTAAGGAGATAGTCAAATGAGGCCATAAAGGTGGGACTTGACCCAACCTGGCTGATGTTCATATAAGGAAGAGACATCAGGGATGCACATGTACAGAAAAAAACCTGTGTGAACACACAGCAAGTTGACAGTCATCTATAAGCCAAGAGGTCTCAAGAGAAACCAGACCTGCCCAGCCCTGACACTATACTTCCAGCCTCCAGAAATGTGAGAAAATGTCTGCTGTTTAAGCCATCCATCTGTGGTATTTTGCTATGGCAGCCTGAGCTAATACACTTAGTGACACATGAAAATTATATGAACTTCATATTTGAGTCCATTAATAAAATTTTATTAGAATATAGCCTTGCTCACTCATTTACATATTATCTCTGGCTGGTTTTTTGCTACATGGCAGAGTTGAGTAGTTTTGACAGGAACTGTGTGACCTGCAAAGTCTGAAATATTTGCCATCTGATCCTTCACAGAGCATATCTCCAAGCAGCTTGAGTATAAGGTCCTTGCTTAGCATATGGATGGCCATCTTAAGTGATAGCTGCCATTTTAAGGAAAAAGTTTCACTTTCCCGTCCAAAGGCCTTTCTGAGAAAGGCTCACCACTCCCTCAGACCAACCCAACCCTTAACACATTAGGACCCGCCCAGCTCTGGTTCCTGAGCCTCCCTGATAAAAGTCCCAAAACCCAAGCCTATTTTGCCTCTCTCTGACAAATACACTCACATGTGTATCTCTGCCTGACCTCCGTCTTTCATTTCTCACTTACCAGTCTCTCATTCCTTGCTTTCCCTTCATTGAGCACTTGCTTTGAATGCTTAAGTATCTTGCTCTGATCCTTACTTGGCTGAACTACCTACATAGTGGGTCTTGCTTGGTACAGTGGCTCTTTTTGATCACTGCAAATAACTTAAGAAGGATGGTTTCATAGGGTAGTGTTGCCTGGGAAGCTGGAGTTACACAGCCAAGGAGCTTGGAACATGACTAAAAATGAACTTCACTTATTTTGAAATATTAACATAGCAGTGTTAGGCACCACTGGGTCATTTCACCTTAACCCAGCAGGTTCCAATCCCAAAAGGGTGGGTCCCATCTCTGTTGCCAGATGAACCTGGCTTGATAAGCAGACCCTACACCTTACCCTCCCTGTACATCAAGAGCAGCATCCCCATATCAGATCACCCCTGGCAGATCTGAGTCTAGATCTGACCTCAGACATATCTGCCACACTTCCTAACATAGGTCCCCTTCTTTGGGGACACTGGACAGTGGTGAATGCTTCAATGGCAACTAATTACAAGCAGACTACATTAGCTAATATCTGATGCTTCTTCTGGTATGCTTAAGTGTTCTATTAATTTTACACAATATCTTTATTTTTAGGTGGTGTGAGGATCGAACCCAGTATCTCACGCATGCACAGGAGAGCGCTCTACCTCTGAGCCACAATCCTAGCCTAAGTGTTCTATTAATTTTAAAAGGACAATTCATATTTATAAATAAGTTATTTCAAATATAAACCTTAAAAAAAATCATGCTTCCTCTGGTTAACCAAACAGCATACCAACTGAAATCATATGGTCTGTTCTTCCACCCTTACTCCCAAAGTTGCAAATCCCCTACTAGGTTATTCTAATCCATGACTCAACAGGTAGGGTGGGAGACAGCCCTGAGTGTAGGGATAAAGACGCTTCTCTATTTTCCAATGCAGAGACCCATATACCAGGGCAGCTTAGGAACTCTCAAAATACCAACTATCTCTCTCTTGGTAGCTCCCTGCCCAGACTGAGTAAGATTAAGGACACTGACAGCTGGTTCTGTCCACCTCTGTGGCTTGTGCCAGACTAGGGAGCAACATCCCTGCTCCACACTTGTCAATCACAGGTGATTACATTTTCCCAGTTAATGACAGACCTCTGGAGATACGTGAATGCCCCCATTTACTTTCAACCTAGTAAATATTCAGTTTGCCAAATTATAGACCATACATCCCTACTGAAAGGAAACACAACTGGAAGAATGATAGAAATCCTATATCACTTTCCAAGTGTGTCCTGATTAGCATCTTTTCTATATTTTCCAATTTTTATTCTCATCATCTGCTAATATAGTTCTCCACTCTTGAAGGCATTTCTGATCATCTCACTATGCCAAAGTAAATTATTAATAGTTCTTAAGTGTCACATTCTTGTCCCTTTGGAGAATCCCTCTTGAGAATCACAGTTTACCAAACAGCCAAAATATTTAGGCCTTATAGAAAGTCAACCTCATCTGTGCTCTTAAATTCAATATGCATAGTAATAGCAGTGTAGAAATGGGGAAGGACATTTAGAAAGCTGTATTAACAATACAGAAATTCCCCTGATTCAAGGGGGATACATTCCAAGACCCCCAGTGGACGCCTGAAACCATGGATATTACCACTCTCTATATATTTTCCCTACACGGAAACCTGGGATCAAGTTTAACTTAGGTACACTAAGAGACTGGTAAAAATGCTACTTGAACACCAATACTAATACTGAGAAAGGTGATCTGATAACTAAGAGCTATAAAGTGACTAAATAATGGGTAACATGTATAGCATGGAAACACTAGACAATGGGATGATTCACATTCCAAATGGGATAGAGGGACAGTGCAAGATTTCATCATGCTACTCAAAATGGTGTGAAATTTAAAACTTGAGATTTATTTCTGACCTTTTCCATCTAATATTTTCAGACTGTGGTTGACCACAGGTGACTGAAACCGTGGAGCGAGAAACCATGAATAGAAGGAGTACCTTATATACAGAGGGAGCATACAAAAGCTACTCTGGGGCTTTTCTCTCCAATGTGCTGTCACTCCAACTTTCTTCAGCTCAGCCCAAAGTAGTGTGCGATGTATCTGCGTATTAGACAACTGGGTATAAGTAGAAAAAAGAGAGCCAGAGGGATCAACTGAGCAGGGAAGCCAAGGAAACTTGTACACTACTGGTGTTGGGCATGGCCATCTCCTTCTTGAGAACTAAGAACAGGAGGCTTGTTTTCAAAACAAAGAATTTTTTTAAATGGCAGCTCCCTTCTAACCACACTCTTTTGAATTAACCAAAGCCATCCCTAGTCTAGAAAGGACATATGGCAGCTGAAATGCCAGCTACTGAACTAAAACTTTCAAGATGGCTTCTCTCCCMCAACTTTTACACTTACTATTCATTAAACACAGATTGCAAACTAGCAACCTGTAGACCAAATTCATTCTGCAAATATGCTTGGCTAAGTGTCTTTTTAAATTTTTGATTTAGCTGGCAATTGGCTAGGAGTTCACATAGCTTCTAGATTGCCTTATTCTCTGAAAAAAAATTTTTAAAAATCTGCCTCCACAGGGTAACAACCACCTGGAGCTAACAACTATTAAAACAGTGTGTGAAGCCTGGCACAGGGGTCCACGCCTATAATCCCAGCAGCTCAAGAGGCTGAGGCAAGAGGATCATGAGTTCAAAGCCAGCCTCAGCAATTTAGCGAGACTCTCTCTCTAAAATACGAAAAGGGCTGGGGGTGTGGCTCAGTGCTTAATCGCCGCTGGTTTCAATCCCTAGTATCAAAAAACGAAACTCCTAGGTTTGTCCCCACCACTGCCTTACATCCTGGCAGCTTCACTCATTTGTTAGCTGCCTGCCATTTACACCTGCTTTCTTATCAAAAGCCCACCCCATCCAGACCCTGAACACTCCCTTCCTGGATTCCATAATCACTAGTACAGTGAGGACTTCATTGATAGCCAGAAAGAATTCTGGATTCCGTAAATGTGTTTAACCATTATGTTCTTTACAATGACAAGAATCTCCCTGATAGCTCAAGATGTGGGATGAAAACAATTCCTGACCATAGATTTTGTCCTTTAGTTCTCCTTTTTTCCATTACTGTACCAATCGCCCTGGTCCTGGGCTCTCTTGCATCTTGGCAAGGAGACCCTGTGGTGGGGAGATTTCCAGCAGGCTTTTTCATAGAACGCTCAAGCTCTCAGTGAATAGATTTTATTCTCCATTAAAAGCCCTGACACAGCTGAGTTTCTTCAATTTATGCCACCAGGCTCTTCTGGAGTCTGTTCCAAGTGAGAAGTTACAACAGTCCACGAAACAAAGCAGAGTTCAGGGGCCAAACAGTCTTCACTGTGCTCTCAGATGCCTGGCTTCATTGTCCCCAATTTGATCTTGATTTGGAATCTCTAAACCCAGACGACGCAGAGAACGTGCAAAGAAGTGAGGAAGCCTACAGACCAAATGGAGTTCCTCCTTCCTGGACCCCAGGGCAGGCAGCACCAACTGCCGGGCATGCAGATGAAGGGGGATGTGGCGGGCCTTTGACTGTTCCAGCCCCAACTTCTTCAGAATGCCAACAGGAAGCTTCTACACAAAGACAAGACATACCCTTGTGAGCAAGACTACCCTTGTCTACCCTTGTCCACCCTTGACCAGCATGCAGAGTCAGAGGACTCCCACCTAAAACTAACTAACCCCCTGGAAATCCCAGTAATGGATAGTCTGCTTTTAGTGGCATGTCTAGGAAGGGCTCAGAAACAGGTAAGAAAAAACCAGACCAAAGAAATTTTATGGGCTCATATTCTGGCCCTGCAAGAGAATAAACTACAACATTAAACAATGAAAAAAGTTACTCCATATTTCTTTAGCATGAAAGGTAGCTTTTAGTTTCAGGAAGATTTCTTCCCCTTGCCCACAACATCACAACAAAATCTGATGCTGATCAAATAAAGGAGTAAGGTTTTGCTCAGATTCTGAAGCTCCATGAGAATGAGATCTGTTTCTAAATTCTGTAGAGTTAGATAATCAATATAGTGCCAAGCCTGGAAACAATACTTGCCATGACTTACTTCAGGATTTTTTTTTTTTAAGAAGAGAGAGAGAGAGAGAGAGAGAGAGAGAGAGAGAGAGAGAGAGAGAGAATATGAATATTTTTTTTTTTAATATTTATTTTTTAGTTTTCGGCGGACACATCTTTATTTGTATGTGGTGCTAAGGATTGAACCCGGGCCGCACGCATGCCAGGCGAGCGCGCTACCGCTTGAGCCACATCCCCAGCCCCACTTCAGGATTTTAGCAAAAAAAAAAAAAAAACTCAAGTGCTCTCCCTTATTTGTTTAATACTCCCTATTAAACCAGTGTTACCTGAGGGGCCAATCTATTCCAGTCTGAGTACTTGTGATCACCAAGGACTGGGCAATCCAATCCAAAAGACAGGTGAACTCGAAGTTGATGTTTCACTCCTTGAGAAAGAGAAGGACTTATGAGAAACTACAGAAACAATGTCAGTGCTGGAATCTGCTTCAAATCAAAGCACAGTAAACTGGCAAAGACCTAACTACAATCAGTTATGAGGAATACTGTAACAAGCTATAAGCTATGCAGCATCAACCAGCTTAAGAAATGAACATTATAATCACTTTAGATAATCACCCCATGAAGTTGGCATCCACCATTACCCTGACTTTTTAATAATGTTACTACATAATAATAAATAGTATTCTTCTGCACATTTTAAAACTGCAGTAAAATATATGTAAAATTTCCCATTTTAACCACTTTTAAGTATGCAATTTATAATATTAGGTATATTCACATTGTTTTAGAGCATCAGCATCCATTTCTCAAAGATTTTCATCTTTCCAAACTGAAACTCTGAACCCATTACACAATGATTCCCCATCACTTCCTTCTTTCTCTCAACCCCGACCCCAAGCTTTTGGCAACCATCACTCTACTTTGTTTCTGTGAATCTTACTACTCTTGGTACCTCATATAAATGGAATCATACAGCATTTGTGCTTTTGTATCTAGCTTATTTTACTTAGTATAATGTCTTCATGATTTACCCAAGTTGTAGTATACATCAGAATTTTCTTTAACTCCCTTTTTTTGTACTGAGCATTGAATCCAAGGGTACTTTATCACTGAGCTACATCCTCACTCCTTTTTATTTTGGGTCAGAGTCTCACTAAATTGCCAAGGCTGGCCTCAAACTTGTATTACTCCTGTTTCTCAGCCTCCTGAATACATAGGATTAAAGGCCTGCATGACCATACCCAACTGTATTTTCAAATAAAGGTATCCAAAATCTAGCCTTCTGCTACCCACAATGATCCCTCTGGGGACACTTGTCTCAGAGCAGTACCAAAAGGCCATGGTCATATAAATAAGCTACCCCTCATCCCACCCACAGTATCAGTGTCTCATAACAAGGGCAGAGTCAAGCACAAGGCCCCGGACAAAGTACGGTAGCCACCTTGCATCAGAATGGGGGCACCCTCACCAGTTACAGGCTGGAGCTCCACGAGGGCAGAGGACAGAGTGCTGCTGAGCACCTGGTACTGTGTCATGGCAATGTGGGCATTCCGGTTGGTCCGTACTTTGACCATCTTACCACTGTTCATGCGGTAGCTTGGGGACAGCGTCATCTAAAGATAAAGTAATCAAGATATGATTTACAAAGAACAGAAACCCATTCCTCAGAAAGGCAGCTCACCCACCTTGTGGTGTTGCTGCTGGCCTTGCACCTCCTTCTCAATGATGGGAATATCCACGACTCCTGCCGAGGGCACGGGGACATGCACAGTGATGGCCCTGAGACACACAGATGGTTGCTTTAGTCACATAAGGCAGAGAAGAGCTCTTGGATTTGCCTGTATAGAGGATTTCACTCCAGACCTTCTGCACTAACATGGGTACTTCTTATGAACTTTTATGCCTGTCTGTGATGAGACCACCAATAAAAGAGATTCAGAACGGGCGATTGTTGTGGCTGAAGTTCCTGTGACTTTCTGGGGGCACAATAAAGTCCTGATTTACCTATGTGACAAATACGGTAGGAGTGGTCCTCTGAGTTTGTCATTAGATCCATTTATTCATTTAGTCTACAATCAGAACCCACTATCTTTTATTACTTAAAAAAAGAAAAACAGGGCCAGGCGTGGTGGTGCACGCCTATAATCGCAGTGGCTTGGGAGACTGAGAAAGGAAGGTCACAGGTTCAATGGCAACCTCAGCAACAGCAAGGTGCTAAGCAACTCAAGTGAGACCCTGTCTCTAAATAAAATACAAAATAGGGCTGAGAATGTGGCTCAGTGGTTGAGTGCCCCCAAGTTCAATCCCTAGTACCCAAAAGAAAAAAACAAAAAAAGGACACACCAGAACCCTATTCTCCCAATTTTCTTTTTTAAAATTTTTTATTTGTATATGGAAACAATACCTTTATTTTGTTTATTGTTATGTGGTGCTGAGAATTGAACCCAGTACCTCACACATACCAGACAAGTGTTCTACTACTGAGCCATAACCCCGCACCCCAATTTTCTTTTAACCGAATATCCACTCTTAAATGCTGGAATAAAAGACCACGTAATTAATATAATTTTTTATCCTTCCCCAACATTCTATAATTAGTTTTCATGACATTAATAGTAAAAGACTTAAGAATATAAGTAGTATCCAGTTTTCAGATTAAGCATTATACCAAAGAAAATCATGTGGGACTCTCCAAGAATGATCTCTTATTATAATGGTTCTTAAATTTGATTGTATATTCTAGACATTTATAGAGCTTTTTAGAACTTTTTTTTTCTTGCAATACTAGAGATAAAACCCAGGGTCTCACATATGCTAGGCAAATGTTCTACCACTGTGCTACATCCCCCACCTCCTGTTTGTGAGCTTTTTTTTAAAAAAAAAATAAAGACACCAATCTCCACAGCCACCAGATTTATGAATCAGAACCTCTGTGAGTGGGTCTTAAGCACACAGATTTTTAAAGGGCTCCCCAGATCATAAACTATCTGCAAAATCTGTAAAAAAAAACAAAACAAACAAATGGACTAACATCCAAAATATAAATATTTGTAAAGCAAACAGAAAATAATAACCCAATATGAAAATAGGCAAAAGAGAAGTAAACAGTCTATTATTCCAAGAAAGAAAACTCAACCAACCAATAAATACAAAAAGATAGCAAATATCACTAGTACATAGGGAAATAAAGTTTTTTTTTTTTTTTTTAACCCATCAGAGTGGCAAGCTTTTTAAAAACGCTTTGGTTGGTATAAGGGGAAGTAGGTAAGACCACCACTCATGGGAGTATAAAGTGACTTTTGGAGAGCACTTTGGGGACTATTAAAATATCAAACATGCACACCCTTCAACCTAGCAATTGTTTCCAGGAATTTATTCTAAAAATATTGCCATGGCTTAGATGTGGTTTGTTCCTGCCAAAATTCATGTTGAAATTTAATTGCTGCTGTAGTGGTATTGGAAGGTAGGCAATTTAAGAGGTGATCAGGACGTTGAGAAGGATGCATGCTGGATCATTACCACATGTGTGGACCACTACAAAGCAAGGCTGCCCTCCTGTTTCCTCTCTTCCACACATGCCCACTTACCCTACCACTTTCTGCCATGAGTTGAAGCAGCACACCAGCTCATGCTCTTGGACTTCCTAGCCTCCAGTACTATAAGCCAAAATAAACCTTACTTTATAAATTACCTAAGCTCAAGTATTGTTACAGCAACAAAAAATGAGTTAATAAATATTCACATATTCTTTACAATAGACTCTGAAAAATGGGAAGTTATCTAAACATCTATTCATACAGTAGAATAACAGAGTCACTACAAAGGGAACAGCTTTAAATGTACAACACAAAATGCTCTCCAAGCTATTTGATCCAAATGAAATCAGCAGGGTACAAAGCAGTGCATAAATGTGTTGCCATATAATAATGTTTATGTATGCCCAGTATAACACTTAAAAGTTTACAAAAGATACTGGTAGAAGTATTGCCTTTGGGGAAGGAAATTGCTGAAATGCAGAACAGTGGGTTTCTCTATTGACTCATGTATCCTTTTTATTAAAAAAAAAAAAAAATGAGGTACTTATATGGAAAGATCCCTAAGACACAAATTAAGTATATATATATGTACGTGTGTATGTGTGTGGGGGGGGACAAGTATTCAAATTGTACAATGTGAAAAATATACGAATAAGTATATCTAAATGTGTGATATATGTGTATTCATAAGTGTATGTAGGTACATACACAAATACCGCATATACAAGACACGTGTAAATGAATTGAGTAAGGACCAGAGAAACAAAAATTAAATAGATCACAGTGGTTGCTACTTCAAGGGAAGAGACTAGAATGGCAGAGTGGGTTGATTCTCCAGAGGCTTTTGTCTTTGTTTCACTATTTCAACCAAAAATGAAATCATATATTTCATGTACAATTAATTTTGATAGTTTTGATGTACAATCATAATTAAAAACCACTATTTTATTTAACATTCTAAACACCAAATCTGTTTTAAGTATTTTTTATATCCTAATAGGTGATAGTGCAGGGCCTTCTACTAATAGTTGCTGCTGTATGATGAGGAACAGAAGAGATTCCTCCATTTATACCACCTCTACTTCCATCAATGATCCTCATACCAGTACTTCTTTGCCACCTGACGGGTTCTAAACAACTCTTGGACTTGATGTGCCACATCTTTCTCCCAAGCCAACACCATTACGCCTGTGGTTTCCTTGTCTAGCCGGTGGCACAGATGTAAGGGCTCTGCCTTGTGGCCATGAAGCATCTTTGCCAGGATAGGCAGCACATCACTGATGCAGAGCTGGACCCCAGGGCCACCTAAGGAAAAAGACAGAAGTTTGAGAGCTATTACCAAAGAACTAACTTAAGAGAAAAGTCCTCATGCATAAACTGTCAATGTGTTCTAGAGAAATACTACTGAAGTGTAGGAAGGGCTAGCAACATCAGTATATCTAAAGACCTCTCTAGCTATAAATGAATCTAAAGTCCCCAATACAGGCTACTAAGTCAGAATCTGCCTTTTAACAAGCTGCCCAAGTGACTTACAGGCAATTAAAATTTGAGAAACACTGTCCTAGATTATGTGGCTTTCTCCTGGATATACTTTGCAGGACCATAAGGCCCTCTTAGGCATTGCAGAAGAGTGGTTACCGGGATGGGGTTTGGAATTAGACATTCCTGGTTTCTCCTTTTTGTACTCACCTAACTAGCCACTTGACCTCAGACAGATTACTTGTATTTCCAATTTTGTTTTCTCATGTAAAAGAAAAAAAAAAAAAAAGAGGGAGGTAAATAACTGGAAAATAATCTCACTGGGGAATGATAAGGCAAGAAATTGTTTTTGGAAGAGGAAAAAACTCATGTAAAGTACCGCTTTAATTCTTTGTCTTTATGGACTACTTTCTCTTAACTTCCCCCAAAGGATTACCTTCTTCTAGAAAAAATATTCCTTCTCTCTCTCCACCTTTTTCACCAACACATTTTACCCTATCGAACTTTTCTGACTTCAGCTGTTCCTTATCACTACATTCAACGTTTAGTTATTTAAAGACAGATCCGAGTGTCCTGTTAAGTTCCAGAAGTTTTATTTGGCATACTCCACCACAAACACACCTTTTAAAAATATTATTATGTATTTTGTGTTATTTTCTCTTTCCCAGTTTTGTGTGTTTATTTGTGAAACAGGGTCTAAGCTGCCCAGGTTTACCTAAAACTCCCAATCCTGCTGCCTCAGCTTCTCAAGTATCTGGAATTACAGGCACTTGCCACTGCACCTTTCTCTTTTTCCCAGTTTTGATGAAAAATAGCCTGAGGACTAAGAACACACAGACTTTATATTTTTCTACAATAGTCCCTGTGGTAGTCTACACACAACATTCCAGGAATGACTGCTGTCAAATGTTTGGAAATGGGTTTACCTTATTTATGTAATACTCTACAGAGGTTTAATTAATTTGAATGCAAGAGTGCCTCACCTGTAATACTTCATAAATGCCCCTAGTTGTGGCAGAAAGCAGTAACAGGTCCCGCTCCCTTGCCCACATGGTTCTTACCATGGACAGGAAGACCGTAGGGCTTATTGATGACCACAAGGTCCTCGTCCTGGTGGAGAATCCCTCGGCTCAGTGCCTTTGCAAGGACGTTAGGGTGAACTCGCTGCAGCTGCCGTGTGAACCGCATGAGTTCTTGCACTCTCCGTTGAATACGGTTTGTTGGTTCCTACGGAGAGAAGGAGAGGTGGGAATGCCTGGTAACTAGTAGTAAGCGAAACAGAAGGGAAGGCCCTCAATAAGCGTGAGTATTTGAGTAGGGAATGCCTGTATCTCTGCGTTAGACTCAGGTCTTACCTTCGTACCTACGCGGTGGTCGGAACTGAGCCTGGCAACAGCAAAGACCCAGCCCACGTAACCCTACAGACCTACCCTCTCCGCGGTCTGCCCATTCTCCTACCTTTACTTACTTGCCGCCCAAGGACCCTGCTACCTCACACCCTGCCTGGGAAACTGTGCGCACTGCCTGTTGGGAGTCGTGGTCCTTCCGGGCTTACCGGCTTTTTCTTCTCTTGTTCCCGTTTCTGGGCTCGGAGCCTCTCCGCTAGTCTCTGGGCATTCAGAGGTCTAGTAGCAGCAGCGGTGGAACAAAATGGCTTAGAGACGAGAGTGAAAAGACTCCCCAAACGCGGGCCGGTACCCCGGACCCAGGCGCCAGACGCAGTACAGCTGGGCGCCGCCATCTTACCAAGGGAGGGGCAAGCTACGACCACGTGGAGAAGAGTGACAACAGGGTGGAGGGAGTGGGTGGGCTCCTCGGGTCACGTGGAGAGGGCGGGACCTGCGGGTCACGTGGGCGGTGCGCGCTCAGTGCGGCTGCGCCGGCCGGTAGCTGCAGCTGGAGCCGTGGCGTTTGGAGGAGACGCGGTGAGTGTAAGGGGAAGCCGGGCTGGGACTGGGCAATGTCCGTGCCTCAACGTTTTCTGCGTCCCCAGGATCTCGGTTCTTGGAAAACACAGCCCACGAAAGCGGTTGTCCCTTTGGGACACAACTCCAATCAAAAACACTTCCCCGCCCCCGCACCCTCTTAGAAGAGAAACCCCACAGACGCTTGCCCCACTGTCTTCTCAGGCACCTACTTCGTCCCTCTTGGCAACCACATCCTTGGCGGGGACGCGGCGTGTCCCCTCCTGTTTCCTTACCGCTCGACCTCCGGAGATGCCCGGATCTCTAGCCTCTCCACCTCTCGCCTTCCGACTCTGTATGTCTTTGTTCATGTTGTAACCTACCCTCTCTTCCTCTCCCAAGGATGATGGTCCCTTCTTTCATCCAAAGCCCCTAGCCCGTATTTCCTGCTAAGGGAGCACACAGGTTCTTCTGTCCTTCCTCGGGAATTCATTTCTTGCCGTCTCCTCCTGCTTACCTTCTCCACTCTTCACAGAGAAAAGACGAAGTACAGGGCACCGACCTTCCCTTCTCCCTTTTGCTTTATTTTTCCCCTCCGTAGTTTGCTGCCCCAAACGCTTTCTTCTTCTTACATGGTGCAGTTTTGGGACTCCCATGCCTGAACTGCAAGCGACTTCCTCTGATTTCACTTAAGGGACGGCTGGGAAGATGAACATCTGTTTGGGATGGTAGTCTTAAAAATACCTTGGGATGTACGTACCTTTCCTTAAGAATAAAGGTAATGCTGTGCTGAGTTCTGAAAGAATGTCTTGAGAAAAACCCATGAAACTGAAATGACGGTAGAAGGATAGCAGGAGGTCTGCTTGGGGAGTTAAGAGAATAGGAAGTGAATTAGGTTTAGGTCCTTCCTCTCCAAAAGAGATTGACAGAAGGGAGTAATGGAGCATAAAACAAAGTTGAACAGATGGAACTAGCCTAATGAAGACCTTAAGTTGAAGAGTTTAAACTATAAATGATGGGTAGCTGAGTCTTTGAAGCTTTGTGAGAGACTCCTTGGAAGTGGAATTCTGGAAATGAATGTGACACTTAAATGCAGGACCTATTGTAGCAGGGAAGCTATCTGGGATGCTGCAATCTATGTGATCAGTAATGAGGCTGTGCCCTATTCTAGTGGACCCTTTGCCCTACAAGGTACTGTTTTTTGTTTGAATCCATTTAGTTATATGCAAGTCAAGATACATCATTGGCGGGCTGGGGCTGTGGCTCAGTGGCAGAGCACTTGCCTCGCACATGTGAAGCACTGGGTTCGATCCTCAGCATCACATAAAAATAAATAAAAATAAAGATATAGAAAAAAAAGATTTAAATTCTTAAAAAAAAAAGATATATCATTGGCAACTGCTGTTGATTTGTGAGTCCTTTGAGGACTGTCCCCCATACCTAGCATTTAGTAAGTTCACAAATATTTGTTAGGAGGTTGAATTACATCATGGACATTTTAGGTGTTTCTAAACTTTTTGAATTGTTTTATTTCTGTCAGTTTTGGACCTGAAGAGTAAAGATAGGGGTAAATATATTTGTAAGGAATATGGAAAAAATCTTGTGTGTTTCTGAGATAAGATAAATGATCTGGAATAAATACAAAGAACTCCAAGGGAGATTGAGAAACAACCAGTGTTTCCCCTTCTATTATTGTTTGTTTTTGTTTTCCCCAGTAAATTCACAGAACATAAATTTATAAATCTTGAGAAATTCCACCCTAAAAAATTACTACCCTTTATCTATATGCACCAGACCCAAGTTCTAATTTTATTAAACTGTTGCACATGCCTTGTTACTTAGTTACATGAAGTCCCTTTTCCAAGGACCCTGAAATTTGGACTTCAGAGTTTAAATGCATATCATTACATTAATTACAAACCTGTTTTCTATACAGGATTTTTGTGGTGTGAGTGAAAGTACTGGGAGAATCTTTCTGCCTTTTGGCATTCAAGAAATACTTCTAAAGAATTGGCGTTCTGGCCAGTAATCCCAGCAGCTAGGTAGGCTGAGATAGGAGGATCCTCAGGTTCAGAGTCAGCCTCAGCACAGTGAGGTGCTAAGCAACTCAATGAGACCCTGTCTTTAAATAAAACGCAAAATAGGGCTGGGATTGTGGCTCAGGGGTTGAGTGTCCCTGAGTTCAATCCCCAGTACCAAAAAAAAAAAAAAAAAAAGGCATTCTGTGACAGAAAACAAAAGAAAGAACAACTCAGATGTCATTGCTTCTTGACTTAGAACTTGTGTTCTTCAGTTTCAGGTTAACCCAAAGCACACACCATAGTGCCTTGGAGAATAAAAACATTAGTCACTTTTTTTCTGGAGAAGGAACCTTTGTTTTCTTTCTTCTTCGTTTGTGTTTTTCTTGTTGAAACTTTGTAAGAAGAATTTAAAGAATTCAAAGTTTTTGTTATCACTTTACTAGCTTTAGCCAACTTGGGTCCAGAAGGTACAACTTCCTTGTTTCTCTTATGAGGCTAGGCTGCTGTCTCAGTATAAAGAATGTATGCAAATATCATGTGTCTCTTTCCTTTTTTTGAAAGTCTGTGGTGCTGGGGATTGAGCCCAGGAGCACTCTACTATGAAGCCATATCTTCAGCCTATTCTTTTTTAAGACAGGGTCTTGCAGAGTTGCTGAGATTGGCCTCAAACTTGTAGTTTTTCTGCCTCAGCCCCCTAAATAGCTGGAAATACAAATGTGCACTGTGCCCAGCATTATTTTTTAAAATCTCTGTTGCCTCCTTCCTCTTCCTCATTCAATTGATGATATTTTAGGCATTCATTTTTCTACTTCTTCACAGTTGCACATTGTCTTTTTGGTTGGGGACTACCCTTGTCTGAACTGTTTTCTCAGTATAAAATTCTATTAATGGGTCTTCATTCTTATGAAGTCTAATTCGGTTCAAACATAACTTAATTATGTAGATTTTGACATATCACCATATATGCCCTCAAAATAATTAAATAAAGAAGAATTTGGGCTGGGGTTGTGGCTCAGTGGCAGAGAGCTTGCCTAGCCTCGTGAGGCACTGGGTTCGATTCTCAGCACCACATATAAATAAATAAAATAAATATTTTTAAAAAAAACTTGATTTTTTAAAGACTATTTTTCACTCTGTGCAGGAACAAGGACTACCAGTAAAGGAACTTGAAGTTAAATACCGTATACATAAGGTTGATTAATGGCATCAAGTTAAATGGCAACCCCTCAAGTAGTGATTTGCTAGTTGTAGATTAACCAGAGATCACATTTCCCCTAAGAGCAGGAAGTACTTGGACAATGTTTTAAAGAGATTAAAAGAAGCAATTAGCAGGAACTCTCTGAAGGTGTTCTGGAAAATGCAGTTCTTGTGAGCCAGAAGATCTGGAGACTAGTCCCAGTTCAGCTTTTATGAACTTGAAGAAATAATATGGGTTTCAGTTTTGTCACTTAAAAGTTTAAGAGCTTTACAACTGTAAGCTTCTCTGCTGTGAAGATTTTCCAGTGACACTTCAGTACTTTTGACTTGTTAACAAGTGGAATTTCTCTCAGACTTATCTTGAATGCATTTAGCATTGGTACAGAAAATCTGCCAGTGCCACTAAACTAATATTTATATTTAGAGTTTACTTCATTTAATGGTGTTGGAATAATCAAGATTTCTAATGGGGCAGGGGAGGGGCATATAGAAAAATATTTGGGAGTGTGAGGCTCAATGGTAGAGCAAGTGGTAAGCATGTAGAATGCCCTGGATTCAGGGCATTCTACGTGTTTATTATTTCCCTGCACTGGGAAAAATATTAAAATATTAAATCTATAACATATAGTATCTCTCATACTTTTATTTAGCTTTTGAATAATGATCCGGGCAAATCTAACTTAAACCACTGCTTCACAGCACATATGGAAATAATTGTTGTATCATTAGGAAAAGCTGAAAGTTACCACTGAAGGCAACTGGCCTGGGAGCTGTGGCAGTCCACAGTCCCCACTTGGCAACACCAAGGCTAAGGAGATACATCCCTACCCTGAGACCTGACTGAATATTAGGAAGGTCAGCTTTGCACATTCAAGGTCTTTGCCCCAAACTCTGCCGGACTATGAATAGGAACTGTATTATTAGTTACTTTTGTTAAATTGGTCTCTAATATTATTTTTTGTGTTTATGTTCCTTTCTACTTTTGGCTAGTTTACATTTAAAGACCATACTTATCCTTACACAGTGGCTTTTCTAAAAGTATGTGAATGATAGCTAACTGATGAAGAGATGGGAAATACTTTTGCCATAATATGGTGACACTGTTAAGAGTATAGGCAGTCTTGGTCTGCCTATTTAAAGATAAATAATATCCAGAGTCAAAGACCACCATGCAAGGGAATATGTGAATTTCTTTGAATGGTTTATTTCATGTTTTCTTTTATAAAAGTAATAGTTAAGTCTGGGGTTGTGCCTCAGTGGTAGAGCGCTCGCCTAGCATGCTTGAGGCACTGGGTTCGATCCTCAGCACCATGTAAAAACAAAATAAATAAGATAAAGGTATTGTGTCCACCTACAACTTAAAAAAATAAATAAAAGTAATAGTTAAAAAACAAGGGGCTGGGATTGTGGCTTAGCAGTAGAGCGCTTGCCTAGCATGTGCAGGGCCCTGGGTTCAATCCTCAACACCACATAAAGGTAAGTGAATGGAATGGAGGTATTGTGTCCAACTATAACTAAAAAAATAAATATTTTAAAAAATTTTAAAAATACCAAAAAAAGAGTGGGAAGAAATCATTCTTAGCTTCTCTTTTCCATATGTGTAAATATCATAGTTTTTCTCTAGTCTTTTTTT